CAGTGGAAGAAATGGAAAGAGTATGGAGAAATATCAGGCTATGTCACACAAGCTGAAATAAAGAATCAATGTGTAAAGCTCAAGGAGTACAGTAACTGTGCCAATACAAGGGATTGCAGCTGAACAAGTGGATTTTGTTCAAATTTTTAGCAAAAGAAGCTAATACTTCAGAATGAGGGAATGAATGACAAAAAGAACAGACTCCTGCCTATGCCATAAATTCTTCCTAGCACTCCGATTTCTCAACCTTTCAGAGGCACAGTCATCATGAAAGGGAATAATCTCACTTCAAACCTGCACATATGCTCCAGTTCAGTTTTCTGGGCTTCTTCCTTACTGGAGTGAAAGGCGAGTATCTCCAAAGCAGAGAGATCCTGTCCCAATTAGCTGTGACCCTCTGGAATCACCAGAAAGCCTACGTTAGATTAGGAAGCCAATTTTAAAGGACTAAAAATTGGCAAGATAAAGCCCTTTCCTCTCTAACTTGCTTTTCAACCACCCCACACAGAGAAGGCATATGAAGGGTTCTGGATGTTTGCTGGGATACACCAGATCTCCCAGCTAACTCTGTGTCAAAGCAGACTGCTACATTGATGCTCCTAGATTCAACTGCTGTTGCCATATTTCATTTCGAGTCACTACAGGCAGCTACTCAGTAAATTCAGAAAAGCTGGCTTCAAGGCTGAGCTACCACATCAGCCAGCATGAAAACTGGAGGCCCACACTTCCGTAGAATAAAGGAGGCAGTGTATCATGGCTTGGCAGACTTAGATTCCAAATCCCTTTGAGTTTTGCTAACCAATAATACAGCCAACTTTTCCTCCCTGGCACCTTGTTCCTGCAGACACCTGATTTTCAGATATCCCTACAAAGACCAGAAGGAAAAGAATTTAAAAAATAAATAACAGCTTCTGCCTGGACAAAGAAAGTGATAGCCTTAGAGACTGATGTTTTATAAAGAAGTGAGGCCCTTGACTGAATGACTTCTGAAAAGTTACGTTTGTTTTCAAAGACAAAGACCACATGCTTGGAAGAGGAGTATTCCAGCTGGGATTCCTAGTGGGAGGAAAGGAAGGTTTCTTACACAAGGAAGTTTGACAAGATGCTGCTTGTTCATCTCCACCTGTAACGTGTGTGTGTCTTTTCCTGATGATGAGGTTCAAGTACTAAGCTGGGCTCAGCTATGTGAGTTTGCAGTTCAAAAGGTATGGATTCATTTGCTTCATTGAGAACTGTTACCAAACTAAAGCTTTCATTTTTCTCAAAACAAACAAGCAATCATGCCCTCCCAAAGATGCTAATGGGAAAGCTGCAAAACCAAACATTTAAATATTGGGAAAACAACAAATATATTTTTCACTGGTTTTATTTTGTAAGGAGCTGGTGAAAGAAAACGTTTTACTGTAGACTGCTATAGCTCTCTAAATACAAGTGGGTTCAGCCATTTGCTTCTTCCTGAATGATGTTCGGCCTGATAAAATGATAGGTGAAAGTGTTAATATCCTGTTGTTCTCTTCCACATTCTCTTACAAACCCTTCTCGGAAATTGCCAGTACCTCCATGGGCTGCTTCATTCATCTCATAGTCCTCTAACATGCACAATTGGGCTCTTGTAAAAAAAGGTTCGAATTTTTGTTTCTAAGTGCCCAAAGTAACTCAAATTTTAGAAAGGAAACGACCTATTAAAATACTAGTAAGTGTTTTGCAAGGAAAACAGAAAGAAACAAATGAAACTACCCTACCAAAGTTCATCACTGTTTAATACAAATAGCTATTTTATTCATGTTTTCCATAGAAATAAGGCTTAGTTGAAGAGTACTCCTGATCCTCCAAAACATCAGGTCCTTAAGCAAAGCCTATCGGTCTATGCTGGTTTCACATTGTTCACTCTCAGTCCTGACACACTCTGTTTGAAGTCTATTTTGATACATTCATATAGTTTATGTACTGAGGTAACATCCAGTGCTGTCATTTTTCCATGTAACTAAATGTCAGCAAGAAATAGAATCTAAAATTGGTTTGTAACTATGGCAACTAATGAGCCATTCTAACTCAGAGTCCCCAGATCAAACATGTGACCATCAAGGGATTCATCCCAGTTTTAAGATGCTGCTTTTCAGGGAAGAAAATATGCTGCCGCCTTTGCTGACATGCACATTAGACGAATCAGCCTACAAACAGGCTAGAGAGCTGGAGCAAACTCAGGCAAACAACTGGGAGAGAAGCAACTCCCTTCTTAAAACAGCCAACACATTCTATTGAATCTATTGATCCAGCTAATCAATGGATGAATAATGGATAATCCAGCTAATCTAATGGATAAAGATTTAAAAAACACACACCAGAGATGACAACAGTGTTTTTAATCATAGCAGTAGGGAACAAAGTGTCAGCTCCATGATGTCAAGGAATGGGTGTCTAAATTTTTAGGTTTTCTAATTTCAACCTCAACAGGCATTTAGGATCACAGGACTTATAAATCAAAAACACATCTTCACATGCAGATAAGAATAAACATGGGACCAGCTCCATAATTCTGGTAAGGGGGAGGCCCTTTCATCTCCCTCCCATGACCACATATTCCTTATCATAAGCTGTTCTGAGAAGTTTGCATCAGGAAACTCTCCTAAACGTATCTTAAGAGATATGCCTATAGCTAAAATGTCTCTTTACATTTTTTCAGGTTACATCTCTTTACCAGGGAACAATGTATTTCTTGTCCTTTATTTCTGTGCCTGGAAGCTACCAGGTGACCATTTGTAGGGTTGTGGCAGTCAAGTGAAGGAAGTTTCTCTAGAAGGAGCTGACATATCTGCAAGGAGGGCTTTGCAGACAAGCTGGTTTATGCACAGGTTCCTTTAAAGCCAGACCAGTCAGACAGAAACAGCCTATCTATCTGCTTCACATTTTTTATATATGAATATAGTAGTATGTATTACTACTACAGTGGGCAAACACTGCTCTTCCTTTCTGCTACAGAAGGTCAAGGCCTTGGTGCCAGCATGCAGTGGGAACACATTATAAGAATCCACAGCATGAATGGAGTATACACTGAAGATATTTCCACTATGGCACTAGAACTATACTAAGTCTTAGTCCCATACTAAGTAACATCATTATTCAGGCTTTTTCTGAGAAGACGGAGAAGAGGAGGTAAAATAAACATGTAAGTAAAACAGCTGTTAATTTTCCAGCACAATTTGAAAAGTGTGTAGTTACACACTTTGTGTAGTTGAAGCTAAAATTATAATGAATTTAAAATTTAAAATGATGGGTCAGTATTCCCTTATGCTACATTGAACGGTTTCTTTAAATAGCATGTGTATGTTCTAGAAACACACTACAGTCTAGATCAGAAGAAAAGATGTTAGATGTTAGTCAGTTCTTTACCAAAGAAGTGGGAAGTTCTTACCAATTTTCTTTGAAGATCTAAAACCTAATAAAATTAAAAAGAAAAAAATACCTTCACTTAATTATTTTGCCTACACGTATAAACATCAGCTGACACTGGCTTTGAATATTGGCTTTCTTGAATAGGGAAGAAAAAAAGACACAGCATAAATTATAGCTTTTAATTGTGTAAATTATAAATGTTGCTGACTCGTAAATTAAGCTGTATTTGAAACTGTGAAAAAATAATTATGACCCTTGAAACTTTGAACCATGAAACATTGTTATGCTGTCTATGAAAGAAAAAGACCTCTTTGAGAAAGACCAATCAGAATACCTATTATTGCAAGCCTGGAGTAATCAGTAAAGTGACAGGTGTGTCAGAAGAAAGCAGTACAGGTGACAAACACATAACAAAAGAAAATTAACAGCTTCTCTTCCCTGTGTGAATTTGCAAAACAGCACTACAGTTACATCAGTTATATGGGCCCCACAAGATGCAGTGCTCTATGGTTCATGAATGGAAAAAAAGAGGACACCTAAAAATGCAGTGCGATTTTGCTGTCCAGAAGAGAGGCCACCTCTGGTGCTCTATGTCTGTCCCTGTATTGCACTGTATTCCTGCTAAAGCAGCAAAGCTTTTGCATGGCATAATGATCATCAAGAGATGACAAAATGTGACAGCAGGGTTGCCGTCAGAATGCTCAGGTGATTTTCTGGAGAAAGGAGAAGACAGTTACACTAAGATTTTCTCTTTAACCAAGTCCTTCTGTCCACATTTACTTTGAACAATTTAATTATGAACTTGCGGTCATGACAGAAGCTGATGAGACCCCATCCAATTTAATTCCCTCCCTTTACAGAAAAGCGATCAATTGGTTCAGCCACAGTGTTTCCCATTCATATGGCAAACATGGAAGCAAAGCTGTAACTCAGTAGAAATAAGCAGAGAGACAGACAAAAGAAAAGCAAGGAAGAAAAGGGATTGAATTCAACTCTCATCAGATGTTCCTGATACATCTCAAGTTATAAAGTCACCATCACCAACCAAGGAATTGTGAAAAAGATCTGGTGTGACATCCTAGGTGCATCAGGAAAAGCTGACAGTAAGTCTTAACAACAAAAAAGTTATGACCAGAAGGATAAGAGATGGAAAGTTAAAGCACTGGCTGTCTTACACTTTCTCAAATTAATTTTTGCTTAATTAATTCATCTTCATCAGATCTGGGCCAGCTTAGCAACAGCAGTAATGGAAATTATTATCTTAAGGCTCTACACAGAATAAAAAGCTTTAAACCTTGTCCGCCTACTAAGCAGCATCACATCTTCATTAGTTTACTGGCATTTAAAGAAAAAAAGAAAAACAAGAAGAAAGAGATCTTGCAAAGGCCCACACAAAGAGTAGGCACCATAGTGTTGATGTGAGTTTGAGAAACAGAGCAATAAGGGGGAAGAAAAAACACCAACCAAACAAACAAAACAACAGCTACACACAGAAAATGCCCAAGTAATGCTGAAGGTATAGTGAGATGGTTTCAGCACAGCCAGTGCCTGCATGGGTACGGCTCCAGGGGCAATCACAAACAGCTTTCATCAGGACCACTTCTCACCATTTCTTTTCCTTCCTTCCTCTTTTGCCACTTTCTGCGGTGCCATTACTTTCTGGAGAGAGCTCCGCTCGGAGCTGGGCTTCCCCGACACGTTGCTGATGATGGAGCCATTCTGACTCGGTGACTGGCTGCAAGTAACCATAGCAACAAGGGAGGATGTGAGTTCTTCCTTATAAACCTCATCTCAAGGTTATTTCATTTGCACACAGTTTGCATCACTGAGTTTTCAAGCCTGATTTTGTACCAAAAGGAGACAGAGTATAAACCGCACACAGAAACACGGTGAAGGCAGGAACAGAGAACAGGACTTCTCAATTAGTTCAGGGTTGATGGGTATCTTAGTGGCATCAAATGCAGCCACGATCTCATGCACAACCTCCACAATGACAGAAGTGGCACTGCAGAGGACAAAAAAATCCTGTTATCAATTCAGTGCCATTTACACAGCTAAAATAAATCAGACCTTTGTTTATGTATATACAGCTAAACTAACCCCTTCATTATTTAGCCTGCATTTACACTCAACTTGTTTTGTCAGTCACAATGTAAAATGCAATCACTTGCTTTACACATACACACGCACAATGTGGTAAGAAAATTCTCCTTTTTTTTTTTTTTTTTTGTTTTGTGCTAAACCTGGTTTAACCAGCACTATTACTTGCTGGAACTACTAAGAAAATTCTTGTTTTGCTCAGCCATTGCATATTCGTGCCTTCAAACTGGTCCCTGCACAGGGTGAGCAGGGAGGACAGAGCAGAGCTGCTGCAAGTGTTTAGCCCCAACCAAGACCAAGAACAGAAATGAACAGTGTAACTGTACTGCACTGGGAGCAAGCTCTCAGAAATTCTCTTCTTTCTGGGGGAGCACATTACTCAAATCATAATGCACAAGTTGGAAAAAGCAGGCCAAAGCACAAAAACTTAGATTTGGTGCCACTCCACATCAGGACACAGCATCACATTGTTTCTACATGTAAAACTTGCCACAGTGGGAATGAAAACTATCTACAGGACCTGTACTCATGCACCCATCTACAAACTAGCATTGTCATGGCTAATGACAGAATAATGTAAATAGGTTGTATCAGAGAAAAAGAATGGACTTAGGCACAAGGACTTTCATTTACAGAGGAAAAAATCTAATCAAGTTCTATTGCTGTCACAATGGCTTCATATCCAGAATATGGTACTACAGCGAAACAACTGTAAAAAACATCCTATAAATTATTGCCAAGACTACATTGCCAGCTTGAAACATTCATTTACCTCGGGTTCTGACTGCCCTGTCTGGTGTAGGTAGAGAGCTTTTACTATGGTCAGAACAGAAAAAAGCAAGTATGAGAAAAGTAATATTTAGGGACTCTCTTTTGAAGATAGCCTAGGTGGAAATACATACATAATTTGAGACAGGCTCTTCACAGCTACTGGGCTTTAGGAGAGCTCAGTATGCAACCCAGCTCAGTCCAGTCCAGCCCAGCCTGATGATTTTCTTGTGAAATTCTATTGAGGATAAATACTCCTGAAAAGTAACATTTCTCCCTTTTAAACCTGTCTGCCACTGCTAATGAATAATCCCAGCCTGTAAAAACAATTCATCCAGGATAGGCCAACACCTGAAGAAAATCTTCTGCACTGGGGAACAAGGAAAAGCAGTGAGCATGAATAACTTGCAGAATGATTTCTGCTGCCATCAATCTAAATATTCATGCTTTTTAAGTGGCCATGGTATTATTAACTGTGAAGTTTCCTTCAGTGGTAGTATCAAAGAAGATACTCTGATCAGTTACCAGCCACTCCATGGCAGTCTGATTTAGATTGACCTTTCCTGGCTGCAAAATAGCTTGGATGAAAGAGCAAATACATAAAGGTCAAGAAATATTTCTTTATCTTCAGAAAGCATTAAATTCCGTCTCCAGAAACCTCTCCTGGGAATGAAAAAAGGTTTGAATTCTGCATGTTCTCACTTAGTCAAGTTATCACTCTGAAGAAGGCAAAACTAACTTAGTTATTTGCTTAGAAAGGCACCAAGGTTCAACACATCTTAGAATGAGAATAACTTTCCTTTGAATTCCCAGATTGGGAATTCATTGCTTATCAATGTTTGTTTAAAACTGCAGATTAAGTAGAGAGGAATTTCTGCGCTCATTCAAAGGACTGAATGTTTAATCACTTTTGTCAGAGGATTAATTAATTGGGCTGGGTTACATTTTTTGTGTATGTTTCCACATGACTCTGGAGGCACTTGAAAACACATTAAAGAACAGTTCCAGTTCCTGCAACGGCTTAATCTGTGGTGGTCTAGCATCAGCAACCACAGGTAGTGTCATGGTTATCTGACATTTGTAATTTCATCAGAGGGCAAAAGACCGTAAAAGGGACAAGAGCTGCTTGGTGCACACATCCTATATAACCTGACTCTCACAGTTCAAGTATTTATAGTGTGACCAACACGTCACTGGCATTAAAGTGCAGAATAACAGTCACAACCAAACCCAGTAAAGAAATCACAGGAACCAGGGGAGTTCTCTGCTATCTCCTCCATTGGTCCTCCCTGCAGTCAGCAATCTCCGTGTTCCTGGTGATTTACTATGCAACCACAGAAGCATACCAAACCAGACAACAGCTCAGGATCCATCTGTTTCCCTTTTTCTTCAGGAAAACCCCAGCTTATGACCAATGCCAGTGAAATAGACAATAACTGTTACCTCTGTTCAGGCTGTTTACCTAACAGTTTGATTTTCTTCGCTTCCCCTCAGTATCACTCTTCAGCAATAAAATGTTGATGATCCTCCACTTACTTTTAAGGAGAGCAGGTCAAAGAAAAAATTGATTTGAACCACGCAAACCAACTAGGATAAAGGGATAACCTGCTTTCCTTGCCTGAGATCGCAGAGACAAGAAACAATGACCTTCAGCTATTCTGATGGTGATTGAGGCTAGACAAGAGATAAAAAACCTCCTAAGGGGAAAGGCAGTGAAGAACAGATTGCTTGAGGAAGCTGTGGTCATCCCACCACTTTAAAAAAAAAGTAGATAAGTTGAGTTAGGCGTGTATTTGACCCCTCAGGGGAGAAGAGGAAGAGCCAGACAGGTTCCTGGGGACCTTGAATCTGTGAACCTATAACCCTGTAGACTTATTATGAATAAACTGCAAACCTGGGACACTTTACCCTATACACTGAACTTGCCTGGTCTGTTCCTACATTGTCAAAAGTTTTGTATGGCTGTAGATGCTTCAGATCTAGAGGTCTCACAATTTAGTGGATGTTTGGGGTTTTCCGTTCTGCTAATGAAGACATCAGGTGCAATTCTGGAGTGACAGAGTCTGTTAGTAGAGCTACAGCAGCTTACACTGGCTAAGGTCCTGTCTTTTGGTTCATCTGAGAAACAGTCAGTGTTCATGCTCCATATCCCATGTTTTCTTTGGGTTCATCTCTTATACAACACAAGCATGCATACAAGAGCCACTTCCCGTTTACCTACTCTATGCATGTACAGTCTCTGAAGACTTCACTTTATTTTATCCTGCACTTTGCAGCAAACTTACACATCCAGCGCAGACCAGTGTTATGCCAAGAATTTATCACGGAGGAACCATCTGCCACGCACAGAGCCTGGGAGCCAAACGTTGAAGGTTTTTCCTAAGCAACCACCCCTCTGAGGAAACATGACAGTCCATACCTTTTCCTTGTTTCATTGGATTTGGCAGTTTTGATAGTACTCCCATCCTGAGTAATTTCTCTCTCTTGGGAGGCAGGAGCATCTCTAACTGGAAGCGGGAGTACAACAGTCTCCTGAGTTACAGGTAAAACCTCATCTTCAGCTCCTTGCTGACCTAAGTGTTGCTTGGCATAGTCAAAGCCTTGGACGGGCTGCAAAGAAAGTGGGAGAAAAAAAACAGAAATTTGCAGCATGTGTCATATGTTAATATAAAATTCCCACTTCAGTTTGAAATTTTCCACTACCCTTTTACTTCTTTTATTACATAAGGCATAAATATGTAGATTGACATTGGAGTGCCCAACAACAAAGCCATTTTCTGATGAGATCTCCATTCCACATATTTTAAACGTGATTAGTGAGCATAAAATTGATCTTGGCTAGCTTTTTGTACCCTGCTGTAACACACCCAGGAAACAATGGAAGAATGAGTACACAGAAGAAAAAACTAGAAGCGAGACAAATAAGACTGTACCAAAACCAGAAAACTTTCTCTGACAAAAAGCTTGTGTTTTCAAAGAGGCTGGGAGTAATTTATTCCATATCAAGACAGAGTAAAGAAAGCACACATCAAAGTTTCATGGACAACATTTTCCAGAAAAGGATCTTTTTTTCAGATCAGTGAAATTCTGTTTCCCCTGGCTGCCAGTTGCCTGCTGGGAAGGTCGTTATTGACTTCACGTGTTTCTCTCGGGAAGTGGCATTTGCAAAAGCCTTGCCTCTCCTCTCCTGAAGCCTGGCTGGGCTTTTCCTGCTGCCTTTGCAAGGAACAAGCAGAACTGCAGAAAAAAACAACCACCACCCACCAACCTGCATTTTCTATTGGAAAAAGGAGAAGGAAATCTAGCATGAAAGATAAATTACTCTAATTCCTGACCATCTCTGGATAAAATGTGTAACACAAAACTGTTCTTGCTACACTAAATTGAATTAATTTACCATAACCTAGACGGCTGCTCTTCCTGAAGTACCAAAACTATTGACAGAATGCTTAAAAAACACCACAAAACACTTCAGAAGTGAGCAGTGGTGATTTTAACCCTCAAGCATACTTTGGGAAACACATCAGAATTGAATAGTCAGTAACTGAATTGTCTCTCTCAGGTTTCTGTCATGTTGTCATTGAATATTTTACCTCTGAAAGAAAATCAGCTGGATAAAAAAATTTGCTGATAGAACAAAAAAAGAATGAACTCTGAAAAAAAACTCATCTTCTTTTGTTCTATCCCCTACTAAATCTGGACTCTAGCTATAAATACAGAAAAATTTCATAGGTGATCTCAGTCTGAAAATAATAGGGCTGTCTTCTATTTTTTAAAACAAAACAAAACATGCTTTTTGCTTATGGGCATCTTCATCCCTTTTTCTAGTCTCCTGTTTGAACTGAGGCTGACAGTTTCTAATGTGCTCACATACTTCAGTATTCCTCTGGTAAGTATCTCTGGTACATTAAGTAGATGCTAGCTGAGGTAATGCTGATTTGGGAGAACAGGTATCTCCCCACATTACCACGATGGAACTGGCAACATATCAGAGAAATGTCAATTCCACCTCACCAACCCATGGCAAGTCACAATATCACCCCAGACAGAGCCTTCTGCTTGCCCTCCTCTAAGAGCAGGGTATCACACAAGCAGCCACCAAATTACCTACCAAGGGAGGAAATGAAGAAATGGAAGGAAATGAAGAAAGGGGAAGCAGAAGCTGTGTGAAGGACAGCTAGGAAGAACTACTGCACAACATCCTAGGTAGTGATATTTTAATCAAAATTAAACAAAAAAAAAGATAATGTTTTTCAACCTTATTATCTCAAGTCTTAGTCAAGTCCCTCCTAGATATTCTGCAAAAAAAAAAAAAATAAAGGTAAGAAAAGAGAAAAGCTGATCAAATCAGACTTTTTCCCTCCTTTGAAAGAGAAGTTTTAACTTATCCTTAGTATCTTGAAAACAAAAAAACAAAACAAAGGAACAAACAACCGTCTCAAACAGAAACAAACCAGAAGCAGCAGAACATAAGAATTACTACAGAACTCTGCAGAGTCCCAGCTCGGCTCTGTCAAAGGAAGAAAATGAAGGATTAGTTTAATCTGAGTTCTACTTACCACCATGTCTAGTAATAAATTGCAATAAAGGAAGAGCTGAAAAAGCCATCCTCATCAGCAGACATATTGCGTTAAATGAAATTTGATCTTGGATCCCTGCTTTGTAAAAGCCCACAGGAGCAGATGGCTTTACCACCCATGAAGGGAGCTGGCAAGACTAAATCTTGAAGCACTGCAAAAGTAATGTCCAATACAGCCAAAGTACTGAGAAAGACCCAAGGACTGGGATTTGAATATTGCTTTTGAAATAACAAATGAATTATGAGACTATTAAATTACATTGCCTGGCAAAGGGCAGACTGAATATAGGAAGTTGGTTTTTTTTCTGGGGCTTTTTTCCTTGTAATGATGATGAAAAAAGACGCTGTTATTAAAGGAGCCCCTCCTTTCTTCCTTTCTACATGTATACCCATGTACACAGACAGTTTCTTTCATCTTTTTTTGCATGCCCTTTAGCAAATTGATAGTGATTGTTTTCTCAAGGCCTGCAGCATTTGCTTTGGCTTGCAGGTCTTAGACTGCAGATCATATCTCTGTTTACCTGCAAGCTTATTCCTTCATACTCTAAAAGAAAGGAAAGGTGATAAATCAGATTACAGCCCTTAAAAAAGTCATGCTGTGAATTAGAAAGCAAGGGAGGTAAAAGCTAACATCTATCCAAAACCTCAAAGTAAAAATAGTTGCTTAAAATAAAAACAGCATTGAAAGAACATTAAAATAAACTCCCATCAGAATTTCACCGATTTGAATTTATACATCTTTTCATTTTACAACTGGAAAGCCAATTGAAAAAGATGGTAACTGTCCTTTTTCTCTGCAACTTAGTACAGATGACTGACTGCTAAGGCAATGCAGAACAGCAACACAATTCCTAAGAAAGACACTATAAACTACACTGCGTATGAGAGGTCATTTTTAAACTTCACTTACTTCAGTCTGTTACAATTAAAGAAGTCATTCCTTAATTACCAGGCCAGGCAGTAATCCTGCTGTTACATCACCCCACAGCTACAGAACGATATGTAGCGTTCAGTGCTTCATCACCCCTCCATTCTGTGCTCCTGGAGAGATGTGGCAGGCAGCTCTGCTCTGTGAGGACCTGCAGCAATGAACAAGCAGCTCTGCTCTGCCAGTCCCCTTGGGACAGGACTTTTGGAAGCTGAACACCTAAAATGGCACAGCTGAAATCCAAGGCTGTGAGGATCCTGTAATACTCTCTTTTCCTCTCTATAAAGTTTGCTGGGTATTCAAAAGGCATCAAAAAATTGCTTCAGTGATTCAACAGCAAATCTCAGACACACAGAAACAAAACATTAAAGCAGCTGCCTAAACTAAAAATCACTCTACTGTGACTCCACTTACAGAACAGATTCAATATTAATCAAGCAGTCTCAGGTACTTTTCTAAGCCATGAAATATAATATATTCATTTTAAATGTGATACAGATATGTGCTCATCATCTATTTGTATTGCCAAACTGCATGAAATGTAGCAATTACAGTTCAAGTAATCACCACTATTCCTGATATCCCTAAAGCTGGGATTAAAAATAAAACTGAAATTGTTATTTTCAAAATTACCTTATTTCATTACCTTCTCCAGATGTATGTTGTAGCCTTATTTTAAGTAAAGATGCTGAAATCAGGAATGATAAAACCAGTCCACTGCCTGTCCCGTTGCAGAATTTATTTTCTACAGTCCATATACGAGCATACACTCTGAACTAGACCTGGCTGAACCTTTCTGATGGAGCCACCATTGTGAAATTAAATGGAAAGCAATTCAGCTTTCACTTTGAAATGCGTCACTTTTCATATAAATGACTTCAATTAAATTTCACGGAGTCTCAAAATATACCAAGAAGGGGAACTGCACTCTGGGAGTGGACCTCCTGCACCCCAGCTGCAACTGTGAGGAGTCTGCAGGAAAATCTCCTGGGAGGCGCACAGTGTGGCTGCTGGGGGCTCAGCACCAACTGGCTTGTTCTGCAGATCTAACTCCCTTCTGATAGCACTGACTGAGGATGCGAATGTAACCTGACTGAATAGGTTTTAACCTGACCATGTATCTTACAGCCTGACTAAATCCAATTTTTCAGGAAGAGTTAAAATTCAACCTTCTCTTTCTTTTTGGAATGGCAGCTTCGGATTAAATATTAAAATATTTTCAAGTTTTTTCTGTGCTGCAGCTTCAACCAGCAGTGTTTGGTTTTTTTTTTTATTTAGCAACTTGCTTCAGCTGTAAAGCATCCCATAATGATGGCCAGCTCAAAACAATGTACAAATTCCACCTCATTTTGTTCTTTTAGCTAGGACTAGAATTACATATAAGAAGAATCAAGTGGTGCATAGCATTTGCAATGGCCCCTAATAAAGCCTGATTTGCATTTTAGAGGTTTCAATGGGATGTTACATGATATTACTGCAGTGTTATTAATTTTTGTTTGTGATATTGTTTGTTTCACTTCTGCAGATCTAGTCCTTAACACTAGCTCGATAACACTACAATGAACATACTGGAACCAAAACGGAAATGTCTTTTTCGCCTCATTTTTCATACAAATGTCTTTTTCAAACTGGCACCAGCTGCGCCTATCTGCAACTAACCTAAGATGAGGAGAGAAGAGCTGTCATATGCATCATGCCTTCCTTCAGCTCTCTCTCCAATCTACATTTTTCAGCAGAAGCAACAGAGATGAAATTGTTGAATCCTGCTGTCTGTAGCATTCAGAAACCAAAGACAAAAATTATCATTTCAATCCCATGCCAATGGAGAACAAAGGCAGCTAAAAGGGTGAAGGAACCACATGACCTACACACAGGGTCTGTAGGCTAAAAACTCCTCACTTTGGGTGCCTGTGTTTAAAAGCCATTTAAATAGCAGCATGGAGAAGGCAGACTTTTTTCCACTACAGAGATAAATCAGTATTCTGTGACATTTTTCTGTTAAAAGATAGAGAATCAAACTAGAAACACATTTGATTTGGTCCAAAACCAAGCAAACAAACAAGCAAACAAGAAACAAGAAAACTCCCCCAAAAAAACTCTGTAATCAATATGGGTTAGTAACTTTAAAGCAAATATAATTGTTTGTACCCAACCAGCAACATCCACAAATAAAGTTCAAAACATCTAGAAGAAAAACAACAGTGGGAGAAATTTTCTGAAAAACAAATGCAAAGAATGCCTGTTGGATTAGCAGCTGAGTGAAGAGCTTTTGGTTAGAATCAGGTCTGAACTGCTGCCCAAGTCCAGAGCTCCAGCCACTGCCACCTGCAGCAGGTAGGAGCTGCTCAGGAGATGGGTTGGAGAATGAGGTCCCACAGGAGACGTGCTGCTGATGAGGCCTAGGCTATTTTATGAATGAAGCAAGCACCTCAAATAAAGCCTACTCAGTCCTAACGGCTCAGTGCCTTACATCACTGTGTAATGGCTGCTCTGTCACTGCAACCAACAAGGGACAAGCTGTGATGGAAGCTGATGAGCCCTGAGGAAAACAGAAGGATAATTGCTGTGACTGATGGCATCAAAGACAGAGAAATGCAAATATACAACCTTGTGAATAACAACCTTTTCCAGCTCCAAACCTCCTTCAGCTATCAGAGAAACACAGTTAAAGCCTCAGAAAGCAAATGGACATCTTGGATCTAAAGACCCATCACTCACTTTTGCTCTCTGAGGCAGGTTCATCATGGTGTCTGGTTTAAAGTCGTTCTTGTTCTTTCTGCACAGAACTGCTGTGATGATGATGATGATAACTGTAACCACAGCAATGGGAGCCAGCACTGCTGCAATGATCCACAGGTTGTTTGGGGGATTCTTCACCACAGCTATGGAAAATTGCAAACCAACATTGGTAACTTCCACTGCACAAACACAAGGTTTAAATTGCTCTTAACGCAGACTTCAACTGTCTCCATATAATAATTAGTATAGAAAGATTGTTAGTAGTCTTACTATGCCTTTTTATTCCTTGAGGAAAAAAAAAAATAAATAAATTAATCAGCAGCACGATGTAATTCCCAAATCCCTGGACTCTATTCTCTTATTTAGTTATATGTTAGTTATATGCAAAAGCCACCATCAACTCCCAAGTCAAGTTAACATTAGATACGGTTAATTTACAGAGTAAACGAAAAAAGGTGCAAGTAATACATCCTTAATTTTTTTCCAAACACAAAACCAGCTCATAGTAAGGTAGCATGTGTGTTAAAATTGTAGACATGGAGTCTGTATCTGGTGTCAAAGACTTCCTGGCTCAGGAAGAGTAAACTGGCAGAGCTTTTGCAAAACCAGTGAAGCTAAGCATGCTAATAGTTATTATTGATATCAACAGAACAATAAGAAAATACTTCTCTTGTGCTCTAGAAATACTTTATCACAGATAAGGTTGAAAAGAATACATCATTTCTGAAGGAGGGGAAATAATGGGGTTGGAAAAAGCTGCTTGGTAGCTGCTAGCTGCTTTCTAGCATTCATAATGGTACCAGGAAAAGGGTACATTCCAGAAATGTAGTGATGCTAAAATATTTTAGATTCCATTTTATCAGAATAAAGTCTCTTGCTATGAACCTTTAAGAACCTTTAACTTGTAAACACAGAAGAGATCCTCCTGTGACAAATCCCTGGTACTCTCATTTAATTTCTTTCTGGAAAAACACCAGATAACCATATGATGCTGAAATTTGTTTTAGTGAAATATTTAGTGGGCTTCAGCATGCTATCTCTATTTAATTTACTATGCCACTAGCTGCTTGCGTGGATAGGCAATTGTGAGAATACCAGCGTAAAGCAGCATTTCCCATTTTCCAGGGGACTAGTGCTTTCAAATGTCATTGAGCTTGTTAACGGCCAGAGGCACTCAGCTGCTTTTAGGATCTGACTTCAACTGCATAACATCTTGCTCAGCAGCAGCTATGAAAGCCAGCTGAAAGTTTGTCTGAAGCTTGAGCCTATTTTCTTTGTGGATCTACAACTTTCTGCAAAGCCGATGTAGTTTGTTGGGTGATGCAGGAATAGTGCCACAAGGTACACATCTTGTGCACAGTGTAACAGTAACCACACAGTTAAAGACCGTCCAAAAAGCCAGGCTGAAGCCCTTCAAGGTTCAAAATATTAAAAAATTCTTTTTATAGAAGCCCTAACACTTGTGCCTACAGCCACTCAGTAACTGATGCAAGTCTTAAGAGAGAAATTCAAAACCACTTAAATTTTCAGGAGTGGATTACTTTATTGACCACATTATTCTGAATGATACTACCGTATCTTGAATTTGAAACCTGTCTATACATGAATAGTTCTGTTCAGCTTCACTTTCCTCATTTGTGTCTAGACAAGATCTGTAACAACCAGATGGTGCACTTATCAAATTTCTTGGTGAAAATGATCACTTGGAAAAAAAAAAAACAAATCCCTTTGACACAGAAATAATCTACATCATTTTGAACAAGTCAGAAATAAAGGACATATTGATAGCCCCCACATTTTACTTTGGGCCAAGTTATTTGAAAAACGCTTTTAGCCCCAACGTTCATAAGCCTGTACTGTCATGGTTTTGTTAGCATCAGAATTAGTTCTGACTTTACAGTTCCATAAATTTGTTCAGTTCACAGGACTGTATGTGTGTATGAGTTGTACGGTAGAGTTTACAATCATCGGCTAAATAACAGTTGGTATATAGCTTTGATTTGCTAAGATAGAAGATTAGTCTTGCACAGGAAGAGCAGCTGCTCAGAAAGGTGCAGCTGAAATTTCCCTGTGTGACCAGTGGAGGCTCCCTACACATACCCTGGTGTTCTTATGAATTAAAAATAAATAAAAGAAGAAATAAAGCACCAAACCAGAGAATTTTAAGAAGAATTCTTACGATCAGCTTGAACTTGAATAACATAACCCAGTGTCAAGGCCATGCGCTGGGAGTCAACAGTACTCAGAATTTTGGCAGCTGCGGTCCCCAGCAAAGGTTTCCCATTGTATAAGGTATAGTATGTCAGCTCAGCTGGCTCCTTGGGCCCTGGAATACGTTGGATTTTTACCATCTGTCGGGGGGGGGGGGGGAAGAAAGAAAAGAAAAGAAGAAAAAGAAATGAAATGGAAATAGAAATAGATTCCGTGTGTACTTTACCACTGCAAAACCTGTCAAGAGCTGCTTGAAGACAGTGCACACAGGGAACTCCTTCAAGTCCCCATGTAAGCATAAGATACATGCAAATATTCTCACAGGATCAGAGCTTCTCCCCTTCGTAGCCCGGGTATTAAGATTAGAGAGGTCAAACTTGCCAACTTCAACATTTTTAAACATAATCCTAAAGTAAAGCCCTACACTAAGAAAGGCCTGCAGCAAAAAGAAGGAAAGAATCAAATGTTTGGACATTACAGTCCTCTGTGAAGAGAGAATTCTTAAAACCTGACCTAATATTGAAAATTACGCTTCCCCTGCATATTGTAGTTGAAAAATTCCCTTACATTCTATTTCTATACTTGTTATTTTTCACGCCAGGCTGACACTAAAGAGAACTATGCTTTTTTTTCATTTTATTCTTCAGGACTTTTATATTGTGCCTCTATCTGTCCTAAGAGTAGAGGAAGTATCAAACACCTCTAATGATGAGAGGAAAAAGGAGTTTTGTGATTCCTCTCCACCATGTTACAGACTAAAATAAGTCGTGTTTTCATGGAAAATTTTACAAAGGTTCACACTTTTGGCAAGTAAAAACATGTCCCTTCTTCAAATTGTTTCAGTGGGAAAGCACACGGTCGTGGGTAAATTAGAAAAGTAGTAATTTGGGGTTTTATCTCACAACAAGCAATTCTTGAAGAACATCATGTAATTTGGTTTTTTTAAAACCAATCATGTAATTTGAAAAACATAATGTAATTTGGTATTTTCAAAACCAAAGACAATAGCTTGTTATGCATGATTTGAAGACAGATCCTCCTTGAACCCCACAACTAGCATCAGTCACTAAATCAGTGTGAAAAAATATGAATCATTTAAAAATAGTGAATGGGAAATTTTGCTAACTAAGAGAAAGATAATTATTATTAGGACTGGAATCTATGCTTCATAATGTGATCTGTGGGCACATGATTTGATGACTAACCCTGCAAAAAGACTGCTTCATACTTTTTTTCTTAATAAAAACAAAGAAGTTCTAGCTTTATCAGCTCCCTTTTCCAGGACAGGTAGACCTGGGAAACTTGTTTACAAACAAAAGCCTGCAACTTCTCCTTATGCTAAAATATATACTTTGCACCAATCCTCAGAGCAAGCACAATGAAAATATTTATTAACACTGATGAACTAATGATAATATCTACAAGATGGGAAGCATTCAAACACGGGTGACTGCAGAAGAAGAAACCCAATAGTAATGGCAAGCATTTTGCGCTCTGCTTTGATGTTCACGAGAAAAGACAAGAAATCTCAATCCAGTTAAATTTAATTTTTCCCCTACAAATTGATGCAGGACACATGCAAACAAAGACCTTCAGCCTTTTTTCCCGCACATATCTAGGAGCCACCAATACCGTATTGCCTACCTGCACAGTGTAACTGCCCACAGTAGTGGCACGTCTGAAACGTCTTCCTTGCTCATGGGACATCATAAACAGAGGAGCCAAACGCTGCTCCATCAGTCGTGCAAAGCTCTGATTGTTCAGTCCCAGCAGTGCCATATCAACCCCTTGAATAACTGCGGGAACAGAGGAAAATCATGTCAGCACATCTTTCATGGACCAGTGAAGTAACATGTGGTCTGCAGGACAGTTTGAGATGGGGATATACTAACCAGAAGAAAAATAGCTGGACACTGTTATAGCCCCTCAGTAATTCCTGGTGGGGATATAATGTGCATCTGTTTCAACCCCTGCACTGTTCTTCTCAGATAATGTCAATAATTTCAGAGAATAAAATCCTCCAAAAACTGATTTCAGCCTTCAGTTTACCAAAATGGCTCCAGGAAGCACCTAATCCATGATCTTCAATGTAAATGTAGTTAAAGCCTGTTTGAGAGCTGCCTGGTTTTATGCTTATTGCTAGATTCTCCTGTTAACTAAACACAGTTTTTCATCCAGCACTTTTGAAGACTGAAGTTGGGATTTTGTGCAACTCAGTTAGAAACAAAATGTATATTTGAGAGCACTGAAAGCCAAATAAACATCTCCTAAGTACAAACGAATGGAAAATTTACACTAAGTTCAAAAAAGTGACAAGGCATGCTAATTTAATTCATACATATGTATGACTTTTTAAATATTACTTAAAAGATCTTTTGGGACCACCATGTTTTTTTTTAAAGCAGTGTTTCCATTATAGTATCAATAATAGTCCATTGCAGTAAGCACCCAAGAAATGGAGTATTGGGTTCATGGGGTCCAAATGGGGAGGAGCCTTACCATTAAAAATACTGTACCAAATAAAATAGCTGTACCAAATAAAGCCACCACCTCCGAAGGGAGCTTCAGAGGATCGGCATCTCTGAATAAACTCATTTTTTATCTCAAAATTATGAATAGATATAACTGCCACCAAAGCACACCGGAACCACAGTGTAGAATTTAATCTGGTTTATGTCAGGATCCCTTTTCTTGCTCTCCTGAGCACTAAACAATTCCAGGTACAAACACACCAATTAGAAAGGCTTTGGTATCTATTCACTCACAGATGCCTAGTGGAAAGGGTCTCTTTCTTGTCCACTTCTCACTTCTAAAGTTAAAACAGTTGTAATAATATGATACTAGTGAAATGACTGTGATAAAACAAGTATTGTGAATCCTAATAGCATTCTCTGCACCTTTTCCATCAACAAAAAATTACACGCTTAATGCTACAGTGAAAGATGAAAAAATTCCTGGACCCAGACAGTCATCAAAATTGTAACACATTTCCTCAGTTTAACAGATCACCTTTCTCACTGCGTTATGTCTACCAGCCTCTTGATTTCAGATTTAAATCAAGGGCCCAGGAAAAACAAAACCCCACAAACAAACAAACAAACAAAAAACCTATCTGTGTTTGAAAACTCTGAGAAAATAATGCTGCTCTCAGAAGTGCTTAAACCAAAGTGGCATCAATTTGGAGATGGCTGTTGGACACAGAAGTCTCTGTTCAAGAGGCTGTAATGCCCCAGAGTAACTGCAAGTGCCATTGCCCAGTTGAATGCAGCATGTAGGTTCAGTCGGCAAACACTTATTTCTGTGTAAAATTACTGCACCAATGTGTTCATATAAATAAGCACTAAAAATTATTGTTATCTGAAGTGCTTGGAGGAGGGGAAGGAGATTAAAAATTACCTGTTATCACCCAGTAGTCTCTAGTTGACTCTGAGACATCGAGGTTTGGATACTCCAAAGCTTTAAAAGTAAAAGTTGAAATTATGTTACAATATTCCAACATCCTACACATTTTATGTCCCAAAAGTGGTTAACCAGACAGTGATAAATAAAATCGAACTATGGCCCTGAAGGAGATATAGAGGCAAAATTTTCAGGATTACAATTTCTCTTGTCTGAAAAGGACACAAAATGTAAGCAAACACTGGATTACAAAGTAGAACATCTTACGCTGCCAAATTATTGGCTTATACATTGTCTGGGGCAAAGCGCAGGATTGCCCATTACTAAAAATAATAGGTAATATGCAAGTGCTTAAGTTATACACAGTTCTGCTGCTTTCTTTCTCTGAGTAATCCCCTGGGGCGAACAAGATGAGAATCTATGATGATTCTGTGATTCAATCCTTACTTAACCCAGACCACAATTTTAACCTAAAAGAGAATTAAAATAAACCAGGATCACATTCCACCAATCACAGAGTGCAGTTCCACAGGAATGCCATGATACTAATGAAACTGTGAACACCCCTTGGAGTGTGATACTCTTACTTCACTCTGCATGACTGAAGGCACTAATACCATACGTGTTTGTGTCTGCCAGAAACTGATTCTTGTTGTTTTGATGCCTTTTGTTAGTTTTTCAATTTCCCAAGTACGCTAGGCTGAAAAGTTCAACATGCTGCTAATTCATTATACAGCTCAGCATTTTTTCAATAGATTTATGCAATGCAGAAAGCATGAACACTTCAAACTTAATTCAGAAAATATCCCTGCTTTCAGGTTGACACACTGCTATTGAGTTACCTTGATTTTTGAACTCTGAAGTGGCTTGCAATTGTAACTGTTCTCAAGGGTCTGATTATGCACAGTGAGTGCTTTTGAGGAGGGATTTCACGGCATGTCCCAAGCTGTGCATATCCATGACAGACTGCGAAGGCTCTGGAGGAGCCGACGTAGTCTGCTGGTAAATAACACGCTTTGAATCAGACATAGTATTTGTTTGATAAACTGAAACAACTACACTGCCACATGAATGAGCATCAAACACTTTTCAAAGTAAAACATTTTCACAAGACATGCTATCAGTCTGAAACCATAAACACTGTGGCATTAAGTCCATGAGTTTTCAGTATTTGCTGTACTGGCAATAAGACCAAGAACTCCAAAATGAAATATAATCCATCAGTTGTTAAAGGAGCTGATCCCTTTATCAGGTCACTTCATCATGTGCAGGGATGTCGTGGTTTAAGCCCAGCCAGTAACTCAGAACCACACAGCCACTCGCTCACTCCCCTCCTTCCCAGTTCCCGGAGGGATGAGGAGGAGAATCCAAAGAATGTAACTCCCAGGGGTTGAGATAAGAACAGTCCAGTAACTAAGGTATAACACAAATCACTACTGCTACCACCAATAATAGTAATGATAAGGGAAATAACAAGGGAAGAGAATACAACCGCTCACCACTTGCCGACCAATACCCAGCCCGACCCGAGCAGCAATCTAGCCCTTCCGGGTAACTGCCCCCAGTTTACATAGTGGGCATGACGTTCTGTGGTATGGAATACCTCTTTGGCTAGTTTGGGTCAGAAGCCCTGTCTTTGCTTCCTCCTGGCTTCTTGTGCCCCTCCTCACTGGCAGAGCATGAGACTGAAAAAGTCCTTGACTGGAGTAAACATACTTAGCAACAACTAAAAACAGTGGTGTGTTATCAGCACTGTTCTCAGACTAAAGCTAAAACACAACACTGCACCAGCTACTAAGAAGGAGAAAAATGACTGCTACTGCTGAACCCAGGACAGGCGATCAACAGAGAACTGCAATGCCACATGGGACCTTTACAGTGTAACAAATGGCTTTCACAGCTCCTGACTACCAAGCCATTTGCCTGCCTTGCCTTTGTGAGAAGCACCATAACTCTTTTCCTATGCAACAAGCCTCTTTCAGAAGGCAAACACTTGAATTGAGAGCAGTCGTCATCAAAAAATCCTTAGGGCTTCTCCTTGTGCTCCTGGATGCCCCACAAAGACAGTCCTGCACACAGGGCACTCTTCAGACAGGCTCATCCACTAGCCACAAAAAGGAAGCAGCCTATCTGATGATGAATGGTCTACATCCCTTTCAAAGTCCCCAGGCACACTCTTTGTCAACAGCCTCTCCTCACTCTTGGAAAGACTTGATGAAAGCACTTAGCCTGGAAAGTGTGATTCCAAAGTGCACCAATGCAGTGCAAGAATTCATCACTGGGCAGTTTCACCAACTGTTTGCATATATCTGATTTAGATGAGTAATGCTTCAATAATAATATACACTCATTCTTTTCCAAGGATTTGCACAGTCACCAGAGCTAGCTGTGATTTCACCACAGAGTGAGCACTTACCCCACAGACAGCTCATTGTGCAACTGATGAAGAATTGCACAAGATAATTAACACTGCTTTGGGGCTGTTTGCAAATAAAATGGACTGACAAAAAGGGCAACTTGTGTTTTCCCCAGAGCTCACTTTCCAGCAGCCCGGTTCTGCTTTTTCTTAGAATCAGAAAATAAGCAAACACCTTAATAATTTCACCTAAAGCTATGAATCTGCTCAGTTCAGTGTTCTGACCATAAAGACATGCTTGGCTCTACCCTTAAGTTTCCAATTATTTCAGTACTTGTGAAATGAAAAATTACAAACTATTCCATCACCAGTTTAACCTTATCAGTGAGTCTGATAGCTACCGTAAGCTTTACCAGATCTTTACTGGTATTTAAACACAGTATTTCAAATTTCACAAAGCATCCTGTGCAGATTTACACACAATGAGATCAGCTGAAATCCACACTTCCTTAGTCAGAGTCCATTACCATGCACTGACGCACCCTGCATGTCCCTATCTCCTCTCATATCCAGTGAATATTGATGTCCTCCAGTGAAGAGATAACATGTCTCTGCAGTGAGCTTCAATTCACACACTAAGTTTAATGACCAAATTATACAGAAATCCTTATAATCAAATATGTTGTCTCTTTATTTATCTTAGAGGGTTAGCATACAGAGCCAGAGAGCATCTATGCCATACAGGCTGTACAGACACAAGATTTTCTTTAGCTCTCTGTACCTCTGAATCTCCATAACATTTGAAACTCAAGGAAATTACTGATGCTAAAGTGCTTAGACCACATTTTAAACTGAGGACAAAGTTCAGTAAATACACCAACAGCTTTTTAAACTGAGAAGCCTAAGATGGAGCTCACCCACTACCCAAACACATCCTGAGTGTGGTACACAGTCCTACCACTGGAACAAGCTCAGGGACTGAGCTGAGTGTTCCACCAAAGTGAAGGGTTGGGCTGAAGATGAACTTCATGCACTGTGCTAAGTCTCTGAGAAATGGAGAACTGGGAACATTCTGTGATTTGTTTTATATAAAACTACAGTTTTTTATTTTGTTTGGAACCTGGCACATACAATTTTTTTAAACTCATGACAGCATATATATGTGTTCCTTAATTATCTGCCCATGTTTCCAGCAACCAAAGTTAACACAGAACCGAGACCCTACCACCACCTAATCCTCCCCCCATCTTCTTTTCGGTTTTGTTTTTTTCTTTTTAATAACTTAAAAGCAGTCATCTAAATCACCTACAACCTGTGAGCTTGACAACAAAGCTTATAGTGCTTGCAAAGCAAAAACCTAATCTTAAGGAGCTGTGTGCTGGGACGTGCATACTTACACTCTGCAATGGTGAGAGGTGGGTAAGTTAGGTAGAAACCCACCAGCTCAGCTGACAGCTGATTAAGAAGGTCGCTAGAAATAGTGCCATTTAGAGTTGTGCTTTGATTGTTCACTACGTAAAACAGAGTGACAGCTTGGGAGACATTGGAGGTGTTCAAAATCTGAAACAGAGGTAAAGAAATTAGTCATGTTTCAGCTTACTTAAAAAAAAACAAAACAAAACAAACAAAACTGGGGAAATGTTAACTTGACCAATGGATTAGGTACAGCTCACTCAACATGACTCCGTAAAACTTTACTTGTGTGATACTTTAATTCCTAATTCAGCACATGCAGAGCTACAGGAGGACAGCAGCAGGCAGAAACAGCAGTCAGGACTTGCTTCCAAGACCACCACCCTATCACTTCCTAAGTTAGCAATACCCCCAAAACCCACACCACTGCCTTCTTCTAGGGCTCTTTCCAAAACTGCCTGGGTGCTTTGTGAGATCTGCTACTTCTGCCATGAGTAGATCAGCGACCATGAAGTGCCACTCAACATCATGGCTCCAGCTATTGAAAAGCTCAATAACTACTTTACCTACTAGAGAGCATTACCTCTTACCATGCTCTTTTCTGCCTCTCTGAGCTCCTCCAGTTTGAACACAAGCTCACAAGAAACTGTACCAAAGTAACTAAGCAGAGTTCTGATGGCTAGTTTTCTTCCTCTGGTAAGCTCTGTGCAAACTATTCTGGGGAGCACAAGTACATACACAGAGTTTTATTATAATTCAAATATGTATCATAATAACACCCAGAGGATATTTTCTGTGCCATAATTCAGGATTAAAGAGCGTAAGAATGTCAGACCACTATACATATAAAGGTATGCAAAACTCGGGCCCTTCATAGTGAATTTGGGTTGCAAGTATGGAACTGGAATGCACACCAAAAATAAAAGAAGAAAGAAATATATTCCATTAGTTCAGATCTTGCAAAAAGCTACAAAATAGCTATACGTCATTATCTTTATACCTGAACAGCCTCACTGAAAGCAACTAATGTGTCAGAATAACATAACCAGTAGAAATATAAATTTTGAAGAATATTTTAATATATATCTATTTTTATTTGAATTTCACATTATTTAACTGAAAACAGTAGAATTAAAATTCATGAAAATAACAGTAACAGTCTTCTATAAATCATACATTTATATACTTTTCTGCAATACATAAAACAATCTTAGTTCAGATGAAAACATAAACTTATTTCCATAGTGGTTATCAAAGGCATTATGTTGAAACACAAGCATACACATAGCAGAGTACAACCCCAGAGAGTTTGGCAACAGGCACTGGCAAAGCACACAAAGCTGTACCTGAACTGTTAAGTTGTTGCTGGTGTTTAAGACCTTTCTTTCAGCATCCTGAAATGCCCTCTGTAACCGTTGCTCCATGGTCTGAACAAATTTGCATGACTGTATATTGTCTGTTTGACCCACAAACTGCAGCTCTAGAAAAGGAACAACATTTTAGCATGAGGCCAAAATATTCTCAGTTGTGTAACTCCTGCAATGCCTGACAGCAAAATGATCACTTTAGAAATTAAGCAGATGAAAACAATGCCACACAAGATCAGTTTATGTCATTCACGCACTGCACTAAACTACCTGGGACCAAATGTAAGAATTGAAATATTAGAGCTGATCCTGTTCACAAACAAATGGAGATTGTTTCTGCAGTGATATATAGTATGGTAGAACCAGTTCACGGTACATATACTTACTCAGACGTAGGCAGGAAGTGAAATCATTCAAAAACACAAGTTATACTCTTAAAACTTGCAGGTCATTTACTCTTGCAAGACAGAATCAATCATAATATTGATTCGCATTCTGTATGTGCTAAGGAAATGTACTTATCTGGGTAACTGCAATAAGTATAAGCATATAAGCAGACACATAAGAAACCTTTTTACAACTGAATGTGTTCCTTTACAGCACACTGCCTTCTCATAGCTTACACCGTTCTGCTACATGGCAACTGCTCTCTCTACAGCATGGAGGGGTTAAACAGCAATTGTGGTTCAGACCACTGAGACCTTGGCCAAATCCAACAAACTCAGCCAGAAGAATACGTATATATAACATCATAGAGACATGCTTCTCATCTGATCATCCTCAAAAGAAACACACAAGTTAATTGACAGGTTGTGCAGTTAAGTCCATTTAATCAAAAGCCAACTCTTCATCAAGATACTGGTATGACAGCCCTAATGCCCTGCCATTTCACAGCAGGTGACAACAGTGTCAAAAGATGTGACAGCAACACCACAAAGGACAGACGTGCACACAGGCCATCCTGTTCGTGCTGGGAACATCAACATGTGAACCCAAAGAGAGCTTGTCCTGATACTGTGTTCCTGCAGGGGCTCAGGCAGGACAGCAAAGGAAAGGAGGAGAATTGTCCCTGTGCACTGAACAATTAACACACACACAGGCTTTGTCTCACCTGTCTTCAGCTGGAAGTGGTAGGCTGGAAAGGGCTTCCAGGGCAAGGCCAGGGCCACCACAGACTGCAGGTGTGGCACATACTGCTTCATGTCTGCTGTGGCGTTGCTAACACCGTATGCAAGAAGCCTTTCGATTACAGCTGCTGGCATAAAAACCAGTCTCCCCTGGGTAACGTAGTAACCAACTGTTAGGTTATTCGCTTGCTCCAGGATTTCAACCTAAAACACACGGGGAAAGATGTTTTTTCTATTTTATCTGCCGTTCAACCACTATTTGATGGGACTTCTCATCCTTAATACAGTTCCCTTGCAGGTTTTCTATGCTGTAATCCCCAACCCATGCAGCATGTGCTCTGAACTGGTGTAGAATAGCTGGTTAGAACAGCTCACATATCTAGGCTGGAGCTTCGTTCATGTGTAGACATGGGGACATTGTACTTATGAATGAGAAAACACAGAGAATTTCCTCTATTAGGAAAAGGCAGCTTCCCTCAGGTTTATAAGAAGATGGAGGACTAAACCTGACGGGTTTTGCTGCTGCTGAGACTCAGGAATACACAAGCCAACATCACCCAAACTTGCACCAATAGAGCATGGGGATAACAGTTAATCTGATGCCCTCTATTTTGAGCAAAATCACTTTTTTTCTTTCCCATTGGCTCAGTGAGTATAACTCATAACAGGCTTGGACTCAGCACAAAGCCCTGCCTAAGTGCACAAGAATCTGTGTTGTAGAGCAGAGTGCTCCAGCAATGCACTTGAGCCTGCTCCTTCACACAGCAACTCAGAGGCTCATACAGTTTAGCTGCGAAGTGATGGACATATCTTCCTCAGTTATTTTCAATAAAACATGCTAGCTCCCAGCTCAGGATTTTCATCCCCGAGGAACTGCATTTATCAAGTACTGTGTTTTCAAACTAAGGAGCGGACTGACAGCAGTGACACCCCATTTAGCAGCCCTGCTCTGGCAACTGATCCAGGCCAAAGAGAGCAGCACTAGTCCCAAGCTGCACAGGAAGGAGGAAACTGCTGTCAGTAGCCATTTCCCACAGCATATAAAAAAGAAATTGGTATTTTTCCCTTCTACTTCACCAGTTAAAGTGATAAAAGCTTTGGAGCAGTCCTTATATTTTGACAGCCCAGAGTGGGTGCCACCAGTGCCTTCTTGCCATGGGAAAACCTCAGTGCTCCCCTCTAAGAGGCTTCTTGAATACAGAGACACTGCTGGAGCTGCACCCAGATGGGATTCTCTTGGAGGGAGAGCTGTTTCAGCGAGATCAAGCAGGCAAGCCAAGCATTCTTACCTGAGCACTGACATTTTGGTTGAAAGCTTGTCTCAGAACTTGGTTGAGTCCTCTTCTCACACTCTCTTTGAAGGAATTGCTGATCAGCATCCTCCTTGTGTTCAGAAACAGAACTGTGGAACAACAAAAGCCACATGTTGGCTTGAGACATTACCAGGCTACTGCTTGCTTTTTAGAATTGCTTTATGTTGGGCCCTAGCTGGATAGAGATCACCAAAGCAGGTAGGATTTGCAGCAGCTGCAAAGGCAACAAGAACTGCAGGGTCTTGGCAGTGTCCCTGACTTCCCTGTTCATCCCATGGCAATAGCTCACTGTTTCAAGAGTAAGGTCTAACAAATGCAGTATCTTCAGAAACAGCAGTAAATGTTTGCCATGCTGCCTTTCAGAGTGAAGTACGATGGCACTCAACTGCCCATGGACAGACTGCTGCAGCATTCCCAGGGGGCTGAGCTGGTGCTGCACAGGCAGATCTGCATAAGGGATACATGCTTCATACCTTCATGGGTGCAGTTAAATAAGCAAAGAGATTTGTTACTCCACTGCTACAAGTATTTTTGATTTAGGAAGTGTCTGTACACTTTATTAACATTATCACCAGGTTTTTCTTTTTCTTTAATAATCTGCAGAGGGAGTTTTATAGCTGTACTTAAGTACCTTCAGTCATATACTGTATACAAGCTACTTCTATCTGTAGAAATAGTTATTGCTATCATCATGCTACTGATGTAGATATTTAGCAGCTACTAAATACGTTAGGTCCAAAAGCTGCTTATTCCATTGTCCCCAGTATCACTCATAAACCTTTATGTAGCTCTTCTTTGCCAAAATCTCCAAGACATGCATCTTGTGGTGCTGTGCTGTGCTACGATAAGGAGTCCACCAGAAGACTGGGCAAGGGACCTCTTCAGACCCTTTTAGTTTAGAGTTCTTATAGCTAAGGAAAAGCTGTCAATGAAAAAACAGCTAGAGCCAGAAACGGTACTGTTCACAGAGAGGGCTTGAATTCCTCCTATTTTGAAGCATACAACTCAATGTTAAACATTACTTTTAAATTAATCTGTACTGATAGAATTAGGTGTTCATCTAAAACCAGAATTACATGCTCATATGTGAACAGGGCCAAAGACTGAAGCAGGTTACTGCACTATTTTCTTCAGTGAGACAGACTCCTGACTGCAGAGACCAAACCACCATGTCTTACGGGCTTGTCCCTCCACACTGATAGATCTCTGCAGTGACTCACTGAAATTCAGAGCACCTGATCTGAAACCCAAGATAAAGCCAATGCCATTCCTATCTAGTAGCCCTGTTCTTTTGATCTGGCTTGTCAGTGCAGCAGCCCCGTCCCCAGATTAACTAGTAATACTTCCACACTCTTTGACACTTAAGTGCCTTTCCCACTTGTCACTAGTTGCCCTGATAGACAAGTGAGCAACCCCAGGAAATTCAGTGACCCCTGTACCTGTTTTCACCATAACGTTCCAGGAGAGCCGGCACTCGAGGGGGGGAGCTGCTGTCATGTTAGCAAACGCGAGGGCTGTGCTTTCAGGAGGAGCAGAGGTGTTTCCCACAGGAGTAGGGGGAAGCCTAGTTGTTTTCGCTGATGCTGTAATAGATGTCAAAGCTGCTGTAATTGTCAGTGGATATGGGGTTGGCGTTTTGGTGATTTCTGAGCTCGGAAACTTCTGGGTGTCAGTTACTGTTTCTATCTGCCTTGGTACATGTGCTGAGGGTGCAAGTGTGGGAGCTATGACCATGCTGCTTTTAGGGGTTATGATCATAGCTGTCAGGTCCACAGGTGAGGCAGTTGTGTTCCTTGCTGCCAAAGGAAAATCTGTATGTGTTCCTACTGAGCTTAGATGCGATGTCAATTTTGTAGCAGTGTTATTTTTTGTAAGTGTCAACATTAGTGTGCTTAAAGCCATCACAGATGGCAAGGGTGTGCTTTCAGTGCCTAGAGAAAAGAAGGAAGAAGTTGGCACTGGTGAAGCTGGAGATGATTTTCTTGTTAGTGGTTTTGCTTCTGAAGTTCCTACTGTAGGTATTGCACCAGAAGATACTCCAGATAACACTGTAATGACAGAATGGGTAGAGTTGGTTGTTGACAAAAAAGAAGTTAGTTGTGTCGGTGATGCATGGACAGAAGTTATGATGACTGACGGCAGAGCACTGGTGGTAGGGGTTTGCAATGGGATGCCCTCAGTAGCTTTATTAGATATTTTACTGGTAACTAAACTATTTCTTGCAGCACTTGTGTCCCATTCCTGCACGCTAAATGTAGCTGGAATTTTATCAGCCATAACCAAATAACCAGAGGACTCTAATTGGTTGTCTGCAAACTCTGGCAAACTTCCAGAACTGACTTCTTCTGTAATAAAACTATGCAAAAGAACTGAGCTAGAATGCTTAGTTGCAGGTGATGGGGACTCAGTTGGCAGTATGCTGTGGATGGCACTGTTTTCATTGCTGGCTGAAAGAGTCAAGTTGTTGATGAGCTGAAAAGCCAGCGTTGGTGGTGTGCCTAAGGGTTTTGTCAGTAGAGCAGTTTTTCCAGCATCAGTTGTTTCTGACTCTAGAAATCTAGGGAAAGTCCCTGTATCATTAACAGAAGGCATGTGTAAACTGAGAGGGGCTTCATAGTGTATACCAATATTAACATCTTCAACAGTGAAGAAATTAGCAGTGTTTCCAGCTGTGCTTCCATGCCTTTTCTGAAGGTGGTCAGGCACTGTCAAAGTGGTAGCGAGGGTTGAATACTGAACAGGAAAGGATTTCACTGCAAATGCATCTACATAAAATTCTGGAAAACTGTTTGACTTAGTCCCAGCAAAGGGTGAATCTGAAGTATCTTTTTGAAAGTTTGCATATGTATAGTTTGCTGAAGGGGTGGAGAAAAGGGACTGCTTATTTGTATTAATTTTCTTTTGCAGACTTGAAACTGCTGAGTATGGTGCATGGTACTCAGTTCCCAGTGGAGAAGTACTTGGAGGAACTTGTCTTACTGCTGTTTTGACTGAAGTTTTTAGCAAAGGCATACGAATGCCAGCTGAAGATAGCAATGCTGTATTGGTCCACGTAGAAGTTGAAGCTGCAGCTTCAGGAGAGCTGACAAGATCTGAATTGCTTTCAGAATCTGCGTTTAAAGTCCCAGAAAAGCCTGAGCTGTGGCTGTCCATCACTGTTGTCATGGTAACCTGTGATGGCATCATATCCCATGCTGGAAGCACAACAGCAGCAAGTGGCTTTCTATCAACTGAATGTGAAGTCTGATCAGAGGTAAAATGATTTAAAGCTATTGGATGTGAATATTCTGCATGTGGGGCCATAACAGTAGGTACTGTCATATTTCTGTCTTCATTTGCAGTTAGAGCCAGACTTTCTGCATCTCCAGGTGAAAGATGTGCAGTCCCAAACATATTAGCAGCAGATGTATTTGTGATAGCAGGTTCAGAATTTGAAAGGCTTGTAGTGTAATTCATTAACAGCATTGCAGCTAGACTAGGGCTAGTCAGGGCTGTTCCCAAAACAGTGCCTAGTATCTTTGATCCTTTAGGGAGTTTACTGGTTTGGATATCTGGAGAAACTTTGGAAGTCTGAGATTCATAAGGCAGAACACTATAGCCACTAAAGTTCATGGACGTCTTTGCTGTCACCTGTCTTGTGGAAGGCTTTTGAGCTGTTCTTACCACAGGAAAGCCATCAAAAGTTGGGAAATGGTTTACAGAAACAGTTGGCAATCGCAGGCCATTTGCTTCATAAGTTGCATCAGTCATGTCTTCTGAAAGAGTCTGATTCAGAGCCACCACTGAGTGCTGTGAGGGAAAAGTCAGAGGGATTTGCAAAGTATCCTCATCAACTGCTGACAAGCTAGGACTGTTTGTGTGTGCTGTCCAAGTAAAGGTACCATTTGTCTTGGTTAACAAGGGAGACCTTGTCCTGGTTGAAGAGGAATGTGTTGCATTTCTGAAAAGAAAATCTATTTCACTTCTAAATGACCGCACTGGCAGCACTGCATTGCCAGCATGCTTTGCGTCTGGAATAAGCAATTTCAGCAGTGAAAGGGAAGATGTGCTCTCTGTTGAGCTGGAGACCCCAGCCAGGCTCTCAGAAGCTGATGACATGGAAGGTGTACGGGTAAAACCTGTCCTGCCATTAGTCAGTGCTGTGGAAGACTGAGGATGACTTGTTAGATGTGGATCACCCACAGAATGGAAGACTGATGTAGTAACCTCCACTTTATTCTGATAAACTGATGATGACAGAGGACTGATATCACTATTTCTGTCAGCCAACACTGCCTTAAATGGCGGGCTGTTTGGTTTTACTCCAGTAGAAGATATATTATATATACTCTCATTTGGAAACCATGACAGGCTTCTGGAAGGGAGTGACGGGGAAGACTGATATGTTTTTGACACTGGAATATAAGAGTATACAGACAAAAAAGAGGTCCTTTCTGAAGGAGACCTTTTTCCCACTACTTTTGTGAAATACACTGTTGTTGCTCCAAAGAGTTTGAAAGGCATGGCACCTGTAAACGACTCTGGACTCTTTCTGTGATTCACCACACCAGAATGTACTACAGTGACTGTGCTTAGAAGACTAGTTCTGCTTTCACTAACCTGTGATCTGGCTGAATCTGTGTTGAAGAAACCTTCAGGATCTGCAGACAAAGGCGCTTGGATGGGAAGGACAGCTGGCTTAGAAAAGTTAATGGTATGAGGTGACTGAATGACCAGTGAGGAGAATGATGGTGATGAAACAGCAGCAAACACGTCTGATCCTGCTGTGCTTTCTTTTGAAATGGAGGGTGTTTCTAATGGTGTTAGCTGAAATGGCACAGTGGTACTCAAATGTGTCTCTGATGGTGTAGTGGACAAAGTGGCAAACATACCAAGTTGAGGCAAACCTGATACATCAGCTGCTTCATCTGCATCTTGAGGTGATGACCTCAGAGGTGACTCAGCTGAAACTTCAGCGGGTTCCTGGGATGCACTGTTTCCACTGCCTTGATAAAGGGTCGGCAGCAGATAAGTTTGATCCACAGTCCTGGTACGTGTGCCAGTCAGTGTTGTTTTTATCATCTGAAGCAAGTTTGCATTCTCCAAAGTCTGTCCCATAGAAATATCAGCTACCGAGGAAGCCTTAGCTTCTGTGGAAGGCCGTGTGGGTGATAGTATAGCTCTCCAATTAGGAAAAGATCCTGTAGAAGGAGCAATGATGATATGCTGTTGCCTGGTACCTGTAAAATAATAAGTAAAATAAGTATATTCTTTCCCAAAAGGAAGAGGAGTTGTTGCTTTGTAGCAACAGAACACAACACAAAATGCATTATATGTAGTAAAACCAGTGAACTTCTTTTGTCGACAAAGGGCATAAAGATTCAAAGAAAGTTGAGAAAAAAAAAAGCAGCACAAAACCCAATGAAAGGTACAACTTGACAGATTATAAACCCCTCAGCTCACATCACCAGACAGAGGAATAAGGAAAGCTTCCTAGACCATACTGTTTCAAAATACTACTTATAAGTGGGATGGTTTAACATACTAAAATACACCTTCTTAAGCTTTGAACTATTCTTGAGGCTATCATCAGTGACCCACTACCAAAATATTATATGAGAAGCAGTGTAGAAACAGCACAGATTTTAACAACCACTGACTTGGCATGCAGTCTGCCATGGGAATAAAGTCAGCATTGGCTGTGTTCCTGTAGGACACATCTGGAGGTGCTCATCTTGCCAGTTCTAATAATGTATGCAATTATAGACACAAAAGGAAGAAAATAAAACAGGGATGAACATGAGGAAAGGGGGGCAAGATCCAAAACAAATTAGGAAATTAAAGTCCTTTTTTGATATGTGCAGATGTATAACGCATCGTTTCAAACACTGGTTTACATTCAACACCATAATGTTCCTAGGCTTTGTTTTCTTGAAGTGATTACAGTTATTCTAAAATTGCAGAATGGGAAATCTCCCATTCTTACTAATTTAAAGATTAAGATTCACTCAAGAGTAAAATTTAAGGGGCTCTTTTTTCCCTACCCCTGGCCAAGATAATCCATCAAAACTCAGTCCTGGCACTTGCTACCACGCCAAGCTGTGTCCCCTTCCATTGCTAAACACAGGGACAGCACAGAGCTAGTCTCTGCCCTCCAACTGCAGTGCATCTGCATCAGGCACAGAGGATGCCAACCTGCTCCATGCCCTTATGAATAACTCCAGTGTAATGACAATGAAGACTAAGCAGAGGCAGACCCTTGAGACACATAGCTATAAAATGGGCTGGACAACAGTTTCAGTTAACAATGAACCCGAGGGTCAGAGCCAACAGCACCAGAGGCGACCAGCCCTCGCAAACAGGAGCCGGCAGCAGAACACCACATAGCACAAGAAAGGAAAGTGCGTCGAGCTGCACCTATTTAAAGACAAGTTTCTTTCTGGTGATACCCCTGTGCCACACCACCCATCATCCATATGTGCAGGCCAAAGCAGATGATTAGACCAACTCCTGCAGGCTTCTGTGTGCCTTCAACAGAATCATGCTGGAATTATGTTCAGCATAGCATTTTTGCTCTACCAAAAAAAAAAAACAAGAAGCAAATAAAAATAAATCCCACCAAAAATCCCCCAAACAAACCACAGATCTTTCTTTTCTTTAAGAGTTTTATTAAGCCACTGTGAAGAATGGCCAGTATGATCTTCCCTCCACTGAAATGCAAGAAATAATATAGAATCCAGAAGCAATTTGGTTTAGAGGAGCAGCTCTCGTATGGGTAAAAGAACAGAGCTCTGCCCTTCTACCAACCAAAAAGTCCCCATACCTTTCATCTAACGCAGGCTAACTTGCACACTAGCATTTTGGAGATAAAGGTAGGCAGACACAGGGCTACCTACAACAATGAGATATAAGCAGGCTAAAGGGAATCCCAATCAGCCCTTATGAAGCTGCTCCAGAAGGTCAGACTGGACAGGAGGCTGCAGAGTCCAGGGAACCTGACCCGCCAGGAAAGGTTTGCAGCACAAAATGCTTTTGGACCAGCAGCACCGTGGCTGCTGATGTGTCACTGGGGTACTGGAGACCTAAATGACTGTTTTCTGATATTCTATGTGTTCCACCATATGTTGGGAGGCACACTGTGATTCAGACTATGTTTTGGTTGCCTTTCCTTCCCTGCTACAGTCAGACAGCTCTTCCACAGAAGGTAGGAAAGACGAAGACATGCATTTTGCTCAACTAGAACAAATGCAAACATATGCTTGAAATTAAGAACCAGACGATGTACCTTGCAAAATCAGGCCTTAGGCAGACTGAAGTTTAAGTTTCCGTGAAGTCATCATTACCCAATCTGTTACACCTCAAACTGCCTTGTTTCACTTCTTAACTGAAAGGCTGTACTGAAAAGTGAATGCAAAGCCTTCACATGGGATTTCTTCTAGCACCTAGCGAATGCAAGTCCTCAAGGGGAATTAATCAAGTCAATGTTTTCTTGCTTCCTAAACCAGCAAAATCTGTCAACAGCAATCACACACAGTCTGCACCATTCCTCATCTATTTCTTCACACTTCAGTTTAACGAGAACGATTACGAGCAAAGAGACAATATAAACGTGAAAACATTGGATTGATGTTACCACATTTTAACAAAAAGTAAAGGAAAGCTCAAAAAATGCAAAGAAGATAAAACACTGAAAAAAAATGTCCTTGAGCCACTGGTTAATTCTAGTCCTTCTGTTCTACTTCCTTCCGCTCTATACCAACTAGAAATTTTCTGGTTTTGTCTATTAATGAAGTAAAGCTCTTGAGTTACTGAAGGTTAAATATATATATATATATACACACATACACACACACAATGTTCTGTAACCAATATACAATGCTGGCATTCCACTGCAGCAAATTGTCTTTGAGTCCACGTTTATGAAAAGATACTATCAGTATCTATTTCAAACTTCTGTCATAAATTCGATATCCTGGATGAAGCATGCACGCACAACTGGATGCAGCATGCAAAAGGCAAAAGTATCTTCCCATGGAGTTTAAACTGAAGTACATACACTTTGGCTGAGAACTGGTAGGGTGATATCAATAGGTCCTTATCAAACACTGTGCAAACCAAGACTGTATATGGAAAAGGAGTGGTCATGGGAAAATATTTTCACTTCTGCATCTATCAACAGGTGAACACACCTGATGAAAGAAGAAGACAATTCAAATCAAGAAGGTCACAATGAGAATGCTACCTCGCATTGTGTACTGGGCCATTGCTCGTACATGCATTGTATGTGCACCTTCCCTTCTTTCACAGTAGCTGATTCTCATGCCTCAGGATCACCTGCTATTCTTTCATACTTCAGGCTGTCGACTAACTGCCATCTCCAACAATCCTAAAACCCATTTAGCAGTAACCTCATGCTAAATACATGCATTTTTGGCAGTGACCAACCCAGAGCTACTGCAGCAGGCATAGATGGTGGAGAGCTGGAGAACCATAGAATGGTTTGAACACTGCCAGGGATGGGACATCCACAGCTTCCTGGGCAACCTGTGCCAGTGCCTCACCACACTCACCCTCACAGGGAAGAATTTTTCCTGATGTCTAATCTAAATCTCCCCTCTCTGTTTAAAGCCATTCCCCCTTGTCCTGTCACTACTTGTTCTTACAAAAATTTCCTTGGGATTGCACTTTTCCAAGAGAGCAATGATAAATAAATCTGCAAAATAAATCCTGGTCTATGACCCCCTTAATATCACCTTCCTTGCACCAATTCTGGGAAAAGTTTACAGTAACCCAGTAGACCAATTCTTATATTTGCTTCAGTTGTAACTTTCCCCAAATTAAATATTGGCCTTCTAAACCAAAATTCTGACCTGGAGTGTTAAAACACAGATCTCCTTACCAGCACCTGAGGCTGTTCACATCCTAGCTCCTATTATAAAATCATAGAATCATAGAATAGTTAGGGTTGGAAAGGACCTTAAGATCATCAAGTTCCAACCCCCCTGCCATGTGCAGGGACACCTCACACTAAACCACATCACCCAAGGCTCTGTCCGACCTGGCCTTGAACACCGCCAGGGATGGAGCATTCACAACCTCCCATGGCAACCCATTCCAGTGCCTCACCACCCTAACAGGAAAGAATTTTCTCCTTATATCCAATCTAAACTTCCCCTGTTCAAAGTTTTAATCTGTTGCCCCTTGTCCTATCACTACAGTCCCTAATGAACAGTCCCTCCCCAGCATCCCTATATGCCCCCTTCAGATACTGGAAGGCTGCTATGAGGTCTCCATGCAGCCTTCTCTTCTCCAAGCTGAACAGCCCCAACTTTCTCAGCCTGTCTTCATACAGGAGGTGCTCCAGTCCCCTGATCATCCTCGTGGCCCTCCTTTGGACTTGTTCCAGCAGTTCCATGTCCTTTTTATGTTGAGGATCCCAGAACTGCACGCAATACTCCAAATGAAATCTCATGAGAGCAGAGTAGAGGGGCAGGATCACCTCCTTTGACCTGCTGGTCACGCTCCTTTTGATGCAGCCCAGGATATGGTTGGCTTTCTGGGGTGTGAGTGCACACTGAAGCCAGCTCTGTTAAGTTTCTCACTGACCAGCACCCCCAAGTCCTTCTCTGCAGGGCTGCTCTGAATCTCTTTTCTGCCCAACCTGTAGCTGTGCCTGGGATTGCTCCGACCCAGGTGTAGGACCTTGCACTTGGCATCATTAAACTTCATGAGGTACAGGTATTCACCTGTAGCAGTCAACAGCTACAACAACCAATCATTATAAACAAGCACCATCTCCTGTAAAATAATAAAAAAAAAAAAGTCCTCTTCTCAGTGATTTTAGAAAACAGTATCTGAAAACTGCTATTAATTTATTTTTGACAACCAGAAACAATACTTTGTCCCCATACTACTAGTATTCTGTTTAAACAAAACAGTATTCAGTGTGAAAAACTGAATGAGATGATATCATACTGCACAAGGATTTGTCCTCAGTAAAAGTATGGACTTTATAAGAAATAAGAGAACAAAGTTTGGACACAATACTCAGTCATAGCAATTGTACAGGCATATTTTCGGTCGTGTGAAAATCAAAGCAGAAAATCTCTTCTGTAGGAGTGTTTGTGCACCTTCCCTTCTTTCACAGACAGAATTCCCCTTTGGTACCAAGGGAAATGCACCAGCAGCAAAGCTTTCCATCAAGGGCAAGCTTTTAGCTATGAAATGAAAATATCAGGCT